CGTTACTACCTAAATAGGAACTAAAGAGAGCTTCAACCCCGCAGAGTCCACGATAGGAAATAGTGTCAACTTTGTGATGGGGCCGATTGTGGAATTTGCCGGGTTGGAGATGGCTTGAGAACCCACTACTGATTGGAGTAGGTTTGACAGTGCAAAGACCAGCCTGTAGTAGCTAGATAAAGCTAAGGCGGGTCTATCGCCATCCAAGCTAGACTCCAGCTACCTTCAAGCTTTCAACTTCGAATCCTGCAACCACGAGTATTTCCCCATTCTTTGCCGATTAGTCGCATTTCAGTTTGTTCAGAATGACACCCAAGACTAAAGACGGCCATATTTGGGAGCCTCACACTGGCTTTCAGAAGGGACTCGAGAGTGATGCAGTCATCTCGCCGCAACGATCAACCTCTCCAACCAGTAAAGTCTACGATGTTATTGTCATTGGAGCTGGATATGCCGGTCTGGCGGCAGCTCGCGACCTGAGTCAATTGAGTATGTAGCAGCGAGTTTGTCAAGTGAACCGCCCTGACGTTCTGCAGGTCATTCTGTCTTACTGCTAGAAGCGCGCGATCGTATTGGTGGCAGGACATATACAGCCAAGAAAGATGGTATGGAAGACGTTTACAAATCTTAATAGCTTGCTAACACGTTGAAGGATTTCTTTATGAAATGGGAGGAACTTGGGTCACTCACCACATGGGCTATTTGTTCAGAGAGATGACGCGTTATAACATGGACCGTGACCTCATAACCACGGGAAGTCCGGACATGCACAAAGGATACTACACCATTGATGTACCAGGTATAAACACAACTAACTTCACTTTTACTCCATGTTACTGACGCGAGATGGCCGTAGGTGCTGCACCGCGCAAGCTCAGTCATGAGGAAGCTGGCGCAATGCAAGCCAAAGCTTGGGACATGTTCGTCAACGTTGACGGCCAATTCGGGCGAACCATCTGCCCTCTTCCCCACGCCCAGCTCGACAACCCTATTGTTGATCGGTCAACAGTTGAGAAGTGGGATCAAGTATCCTGCCACGACCGCTTCGAAGAGATCAAGCATAAACTTACAACCGAGGAACAAGGTCTCTTGGTATCTCTTCTGCTTCACATCTCTGGTGGAAGAATGAAGGAGTCGAGTCTCTGGGATATGATTCGCTCTCATGCTTTGCTTATGCACAGTTCTGATAACTTTGCTGATGTTTGGTTGAGATATAAACTTCGAGATGGTCAGACTGCACTTGCGAAGCGTATGTTTGAAGAGGCAACTGGAGATGGGTTGGAGTATGCATTCTCCACGCAAGTCAAGTCTATTACTCAGGACTCATCTGGCGACGGTCCTGTCACTGTGACGAGCAGCAGTGGCGATGTTTTCCGAGCAAAGAAGATCATCAACACCATTCCTCTGAACGTCTTGAAAGATATCGAATTCTCTCCTCCGCTCACACAACGTCGACAGGATGCCATCAACATCGGTCATGTGAACCAGATGACCAAGGTTCATGCTGATGTTAGCAACAAGGAACTCGAGAGATGGAATGGCATGAAGTTTCCTGGTCTTCTTATGTATGGCTATGGCGATGGCGTGCTGCCGAATGGTGATGTCCACGTCGTTGCTTTCGGTGCAGATGAACGGGATACCTTTATCCCAGAGAACAATGCGGCACAAACTATTGAGGCTCTAAACAAAATACACCCTATGGATGTCAAGAGGCTGGTAAGTAACCAAAGACTTTTGCGGAGCATTTATCACTAACAATAAGCAGATGCTGCATAACTGGGCCACAGATCCTTTCTCAAAGGGAGGTCCTGCTTGGTGGCAACCTGGCTATATGTCCAAATACCAGGATGAGCTTCAGAGTCGACACGGTGATGTCTTCTTTGCTTCAGCTGACTGGGCTCATGGCTGGAGAGCTGCTATCGATGGTGCTTTGGAGCAAGGTTGTATAAATGCGCAGGTTGCTCATCGCGAAGTTGTTGCTGCTAAGAAAAAGGCTGGTGGTAGTAAGCTTTGAAGTGGTGAAACTGGGTCTTGTTGACGTGCAAAGGGGAACTATGTATCATATCTGTAGAAGGAATCTATAATTCCGTTTCTGAAAACCTTTAACATGTATTCCGAAACAATAATAGAAGGACTTGGCATCTATTTGTTTGTCTTCTTTGCCACGCAGTAGTTTGTCCGGCAATATGGTATAATGCAAATTGTGAGCTAGATATGTCATTTCTACTTGAGACCAGTGACTGGGAGCTTATAATCACCACACAGAACCAATTGCCTCCATTCGAGCACCAGACTGACACGGTTCCAGAACTAGGAAAAATATGCTTGAAGCCTCCAATCTGGGAGGAATATTAAAGCAGTGTTAAAATTGCCCATTAGAACTAGCAATAAAGTCCCTGCAAAACCTTAGGCAACGCACACCGATGCATAATATCATTTTTCGACATCCTGAGAATGTTGGTACAATATTGAAACAGTCTAAATTGAGGGATGATTTTGATCCCATGATATCATTCTAATATGCTTGTTGATATTTGCTTTGAGCACCTCCTTCTAATATGCCTAACGGGGCACAGTATAAACAAGGCCAGGCATCCTGCCTGACCTACCCAAAGGTGACATTTCCATCGCAAGAAAGCTATAGATAGCTGTTACATTGCACTTTTACTCTGAACGGCTCAAGCCCAACATTTCGTAGTCGATGGCGGGGCCATCGAAGTAACGACGAACAGTGAACCAAAGGCAAACCAGAATAAGCATCATGCATCCGAGTACAACACACACGCTAAGCCGGCCGTTAGTAAAACCGGGACACATGTAAATGGCAGTGCAACTTACTAATTCATTGACCCAGCAGTTACAGGAATGGCATTGGGGAAGCAAATAAAGATGCCAATCGTGGTGACCCAAAGAGGAGTCCACGCATTGCAGAGATAACCCCCGACTTTGCCGAGTTTAAACGGTCTTGGAGGCAACTTGTTCTCCCGTCCGTGGATCAGAGTGATAGCCTGAGGGACGGCGTATGAAATATTCACACCAAGAACTGCAGTGGTGATGATAGAGTTGAAGGCTTGACTGCTAGCCATGTATAACAGTCCATAGATGATACAGAACCCAACAGACAGCAGAGTCGTGCGAACAGGGAAGCCCAGAGAGGGTGAGATGTGATTCCAATAGTTGGAGTATGGGAGTCCACGCTAATTAGCCGCGTCAGCGTGATTCAAGACATTGAAAGTAAAGACGATGGAGACTTACATCTCGCGAGAAGGCCCAAGTCAATCGGCCGCATGTGATCCACTGGCTAGGCATACATGCTTCCTACTGTTAGCTAGAAGTTTCAAACACATCAAAGTTACATAACGTACTGTAAAAGATGACTACAAGAAGAGACTGAAGTCCGAGTGCAGCTGACTTGCTACCAGTAGCCTGGTGAAAGACTTCAAGGCTTGGCAGATGGGCAGCCCTGACGGCATCGAGATCTTTGATGACAAACATCATGGCCAAGATGAATGGGACTGAAGTAAGTAGGCCAATAATCATGGTAAGGTTCCTGCAAAGCCTTGTTAGAGTTTGGTCTGGATATTCTCAAGATTGCAGACTTACATTGCTCGAGGAATGGCCTTGCCTGGGTGGTGCATTTCCTCAGCGACGTGGATCACAGCATCCATGCTAGCGAAAGCGTACATGGCGTTGCCGATACTCATGACCCATGCAACGCCATTTGGCCAGCCGCTTGTTCCATCGAATTTGGTGATGAAGCTCGGGTGGTTGTACCCGTCGCTCATGGCGAGGATCGTGATTGTGACGACGACGAAGCCGAGGACGGATATCGCGAGACATGCTTGAGTCCACTTTCCGAGATGTTTCTGGGGAATCGTGAAGATGGGAATGACTGCGGTTGTCAGCATGATTGCTACGGACATGGAGTTTGGGGGAAGCCTCACGTGTAATCAGAATGAGCCCTATGTATAGCAGGTATGAATGCCAGTTCTGAGGTTGGTAATCAGGGTTGACAAAGAGGACCATGCCAATGATGCACTGCACGTTGTTCGAGATTCCGGAGCAGGTAATCACCCACCAACCAAGAACACTGATGATACCCACGGCAAAGGCGGCGAAACGTCGATATCTCTTCGGGGCGAGGATGTACGTGAAGTGATATTGGCCTGTCATTGCCCAAACTCGTTAGTAAATTGCTTCCGGCAGAAATAAGATGAGCTCACCTCCTGAAGATGGAAACGCCGAAGCTTGCTCCGCAAGTCCGAGAATGATAAGCCACTGCACTGCGCAGGCGACTATTAGTCCAAACACAGTCGCTTGGGCACCTCCGTAGAGAAGGCTCTGTCCGAAACAACTGGCGTATGAAACCCAAGAGTTGGTGATGCTGAAGCCAAGACCAAGCGTTCCCAACAGATCAAACGATCGCCTCATCACAGGGGCATGGCCCTGAGCGAGGAGAATGTTGTCATCAACTGCATCTGGACTCTTGGTGAAACTTTCGACATTCTCAACTCTGCCGACATCAACGTCGTAGTTGTGCCTGACGTTGATATCGGACTTGTTGTCGGAGTTCTGGGCTTCTGTGCTCTGAGCCATCGTGAACAGTGTAAGATGATGGTGATGAGTGATGAGTGTCAGATTGAGTCAGGACAGTCAAGGTAATATACTTTTCGCTGTAGACTATTTCCAACGGCCAGGCCGGCTAGTCGGAATCGCTACAGCCAAGCAAACCTCCAACCAATAGAAGATCAGATACGTATCAAACAGACCTGTATCTCCCCCGCAATCTATCTCCCCGTTAATCAAGATTAGACCCCCAGAACGCGGGGGAAAGCATGGAGCCCGTTGAGTTGGGTTATCTCGGCATTGCGGTGCATCACTCAAGAATGGGCCTTTGCCGATAAGCTTTAGTTCTCGTAAAGAGTTGGCACTGTGTGGAGTAGACTTGTTTTTTTCGTGGGTCATGTCTTAATTCCGTTTCTGGTAATAAGCCCTCACTTCCCCACGCTTAAAAGATCAGACGTGTTTCTCCAACTTGGACAGGTACCAGCTCCGTATCTACCTCGCAATCAGACAGTATAACTTCTGTTTAGAAGAACTCATATCGTTATCGCTTGCTATCTATTAGTCTTGTATCATAAACTGCTCAAACGCCACGCTACTTCATCATGGCCAAGCAACAGAAAGATAATGAGATCATCGAGTTCGCCAAGGGCCTCAAGGGTACTCCATGGTGCGAAGAGTACGAGAAGATGATCTCTGGCATGCTGTAAGTACACTTAACACCTCATTACTACGCCAGTGCATGATTTTCTAACCCTGGGGTTAGCTACAACCCCCTGCACCCCAAGCTGTTGGACGGCCGCCACAGAGCGCGCGGTCTGGCGTACAAGTACAACAACATTGATCCCAGCGCTGGCACTCGTGAGGAGATCGACGACAAGCGTGCCGAGATGCTTTCGGAGATGCTCGGAAAGGTCGGCAAGGGGACGTACATTGAGACACCTTTCATGCCTGACTACGGAAGCAATGTCTCCATGGGCGAGAACTGCTTCATGAACTTTGGGTAAGTCGCCAACTCTGAGACATATGAGTAATTGGAACGATGATTAATTTCATTCTCAGCTTGACCATTCTAGATACCAGCCTCGTCATAATCGGCGACCGCGTTCAGATGGGTCCCAACGTACACATCTACACCGCAGGCCACGAGACAAGCGTGCTATCCAGGATCAAGTTCGTCGAGTTCGGACATCCCATCCGCATTGAGGACGACTGCTGGATTGGTGGCAACGTAGTCATTCTCCCTGGTGTGACCATTGGCCGAGGCTGCACTGTTGGCGCTGGGGCGGTGGTTACTAAGAGTCTGCCCCCTTACTCGATCGCCCTGGGCGCCCCTGCAAAGGTGGTCAAGACGATACAGAGTGTGGAGGAGGAGTTGGCGGATCCTAACAACCCTTACCGAAACATGCCTGATCGAGAATAGATAGTTTTGCTTTGGCATTGCCTGTTTAGGTCAGAAATTAGAATTGGTCAATGTGTATTGCGTGTAACTGGTTATTGTTGACTTGAGCATCTGTTGAGATGAGTGTATACTCTTTGCAGCTAGTCCATATATCGCCTTCCAATCCGTCTGTCCGTTGATCCACCATGGTCATCTCCAAAGCTCCTCTAGACAGCGATGGCCTCCGCTTGTACTTCAACATGCATCCCCGGATTAACAAGCCCAGCCACAACAACCGAGGTCAAAGTCGGAGTATGTCCCGGATACCGTTCGCGAAAGATACTCAGCAAAGTCGCCTCATCCTCAGCTCGGGTGAAGTAAGCCACGAGCTTATGAGCTGAAGCAAGGCCCTTAGTAACGCCCGCATTCCTCAGTCCTGCATCAAGGCAGTCAAACACAGCGTTGAACTCAGCTTCTATAGAGCTAGTGACGAGCTGTCCTGTTTTGATGTCTACCCCAACATGGCCTGTAGTTATGACCAGAGAGCCTGATAATGGGATGGTGGCGGTTGTTGCGAGTGATGCGGAGCGGAGCATTTCTCCCACTGGGCCAGGGAGGAACTGATAACGAACTGATGAAGACATGATGATAGGGAACATGTTGGTGGAATCTGGGTGCTGTTTAGGCGATTTACGAGTGCTTGTTATTCCGCCTTGACTTGATGATTACTCAATCGCTGAAGATAAAGTCAATTGCTATCAAGAGCTAAGTTTGTCGAGTCTCCGTTGTATCTCCATATAAACTTACACGGTCTGTTGACTTGTATGTAAATGGGATTTATTCTCCATGGCTTGTCGCGGATGCAAGTCAACTTTATTCCTAATTGGGTAATAACCTCAACTCCATTCTTGGTGCTTGATCCCCGCACCTGTCTCCAGCTCCCTTCACTAAATCCATTCTCTGTTACATACTATCAACGAAACTGGTAGTCGTGCTGCTTCTATTTTGGGGCTTTTTTTAATCAGTACGAAGAGTTAGATCGGCAAAGCTGTTCTTATACTCTGTAGAGAGTCGAGCGCTTCCGGCCAAGTGACAGCCAGTCAAGCACCCAGACCCGATACCATCCGATCTAGACTATTCCGGATCCTTCCACCCTCAAACATGTCTGTACTATCACAAGATGTTCAATTCAAGCTTCGTGGTATTGTCGACGAGTACACGACCGGGGGTTCTGAGAGCAAGATCCCAGGTCTCGTCTACTCCGCGTTCAGAAATGATGGCGAGCCAATCTTTCAACATTACTCTGGCTTGAGGGGAGTCACCTCAGAAAGCCCCATGTCAGAAGAGACTATTTTCTTCATGGCATCTTTCACAAAACTGGCAACATCAGTCGCGTGCATGCAACTCGTCGAGCAAGAGAAGTTGCGCTTAGATGATGCTGATCAAGTTGAAGCCATCTGTCCTGAGCTACGGGATGTCAAGGTGTTGACTCGGAATGAGGACGGAAAACTTGAGCTTGTTGAGAAAGTTAGAAGAATAACTCTTCGGATGCTTCTCACTCACACGGGTATGGCTTGGATATCTCCGTGACAGAATATGAGCACTGACGAACGACCAGCTGGTTTTGGATATGCTTTTGAGGACGAGAAGCTGGCCGAGTTCAGTCGCCCCATTGGGTTTGATGACTTCTCCGGAGAAGCAATTGACACAGCAAATCGACCTCTGGTGAACCAGCCTGGCGAGACGTTCCAATACGGAGTCTCAATGGACTGGGTTGGCGTGATAATTGAACGCACGTACAAGAAGTCACTTGAGGAAGTCTTCAGAGAGCACATCTTCAGGCCCCTGGGGATGAATCATGTCACTTTCCATCCTTCACATGAACACAAGTCGAATTTGGCGTATATGCATCGCAGAAGCCCAAGTGGCAAGTTGAGTACTACAGATCACTTTTATCGGCGTCCGCTTCTTGCTCAGGATGGCGAGAAGGTTCCATGCGCTGGAGGACACGGGTGCTTTGGAAGACCAGCAGAATTTGGGAGTGAGTCCAAAGATCGTTGATCGTGTTTTCTCATGACTTACTGTACCACAGGGCTCATCTCACTGCTGTTGAACGATGGGCTAGATGCACAAACTGGGGTTCGGCTACTCAAAGCTGAGACCGTGGATGGTAAGTTATTGCTACTGAATGTTGTGCCGATGTCGTCCTATTCACACTGACGCCTCTTACTAGACATGTTCACTGATCAAATCCCCGATAAACCACGATTCAGCAACGTCAGTGTCCCCGTGGCCAAACCAGAACTGGCAAACCCAACTCCCTTGACCCCAATGCCTGATGATCACACCGAGGGCTGGGGTTTATCATTTTCTATCAACCACTTCCCAGAGTCAACTGGCCGTGCAGCTGGATCAGCGTCTTGGGAGGGACTGGCTAATCTCTTCTGGTTCGCTGATCGCAAGAACAATATTGGTGGCATTATCGCTAGCCAAATTCTTCCATACGGTGGTAAGTTAGTGAGGTACATCGAATGAGATCTTGTGCTGACTTTGAGGTTCAAGACGCATTGGTACTGGAGTGCTCGGAACGGGTAGAGACCGAAATATACAAGGCGTTGCAAGTCTAGACATGATCAAGTCCTTGTTGTAAAGATGCTTCACTTTATTGATAGAGATCTTTAGTTTCAAAATCTCATCATAAGTATATCCTCTTCGCTCGATTAACCTGTGTTTTCTTGGCCTTGTGAACTAGACGTGACTTGAGGCTGAAGCTTATCCGCGCTCCCTCGACCCGCTACCTTTGTCGCCAACTCAAAAGGGCCATCATTGTGAATCCATTACCCATCATTTAAAGGGGCCCTACGCATTGATATTCCCTTTACACCAGCCTCTTGTTAGCACGTTATTTATGTTAATATAATTGGAGATGCAACTCAAGCATACTAAATTTTATTCCCATTCCTAAGGGTAGTCGGTGAGAAGGGAACCTCATATCAGCGAGCCTTGTTAAATCTCACGCCTTGAACAGACACGTCGAATATTTAATTCACTATTTTCTAGGGCCTATCGGTCTTGGCTGGAGCCTGCTGGCCCCACACGGGGGTTGGCCGGCCAGACCCCGCGCCAATAAGTAACGACGCATAAACGCCCTATAAGTCTACCATTTGCGGGTTTGTAAGATGGCTGCTTGCTTATTGGACATAACTTTATAGTCAGCATGGCGACTGCGGCATTAAATAAGCGACCGTATGACCTCGTCACAAAGCTCGCTTCCGCCCCTCTGTCATCAATACTTACCTGTAAGACACCGCGATAATGGCAGATGGGCTCAGTGTTGCTTCTGGAGTATTAGCTCTGGTGACGTTCGCCTTTCAATCGAGCACTGTTCTTTACAAGACTGTTCGCAGTTTCAAAACACAGGACGCCAACGCGCGCGCACTCAAAACTGAGCTGAGTGATCTCACTGGAGTATTGCACTCGCTCCTGGAGACGGTTACAAATTACCCTGATATCAATTTCGACTCTCTTGAATTACCTCTGCTACGTTGTGGAAAGACTTGTGAGGAGTATGGCAAGCTTATTGCTCGGTGCACAAAACATTCAAATGGAACTCGGCCAAGCTTCCGGGACTGGATTGGCCAGCAGTATCTAAAGGGAGATATCACAGACTTTAGAGACATGCTTGCTGGGTATAAATCCACTATTAATATAGCATTGGCCAATGCAAATATGTGCGGTTCCTCAGTCAAGGTCAATGTACGAAATCAACTAACGACTCTACTCCTATAGAACTATTACGGCTGTTACGCGCAATGTCATCGACGAATACAAAGACATGATAGATGATACAACCGCCGACCTCCAAAGACACATGCAGCGGCTGGATGAGAGAGCACGTAGCCTGGCTATCCCCGCGGCTGAAAGCGTCGAGTCTGACAGCACTGACTGGCTTGCTCTGTTTGAAGAGAAAGAAAGTACTCGAAAGGGCCTCCAGATCTGCACTGAGCTATCCTTGCACATCGAAGCACTCGAATCAACATCCAGCGAGAACCCACAGTTCTCCAAACAGCCTTCAGCAGATAAATACATCAAAAGTAGTTTGAGCTCTGCCAAGAGTTCTATCAGTACGTTGGAATCGCGTCTCAGAAGCCACGGAAACGAAATCGATAAGAGGATGGATGCCATGAAACTGAAAACGGACCTCTCTGAAGATGATATCAACGAACTGGCACAACTACGGGAGACGAAGGAAAGCATTCATCAATGCATGAACGTGGTTGCTCATGCCGGCGAGGATTTGGCCAGGGAGCGCGCTAACGTCTTTGAAGACATAACAATGGCTGACAATGCGTACGGTATCACGGTTTCAACCGTAAAGGATCTGGTTTTCGCAAGGCGGGTCAATGTGCAAGGCCAGGCGCGTTATGTGGGTGGGCAAATAGACGAGGCAAGCTATAACGCAACCATCACCGCGCTTACCGACTTGGACCGAGGAAGCGCACAATATGGAGGGCGGGATATTACATTGGCGTCTTCGAAAGACGAAGCGGCCAAGAAGCCCGTGACATCCCAAGCTTTTCTTGAACGTCATGGCCCAGGCGTTAAACTCGAACCGTCTGGTATGTCAGCCAAGCCTTCTGGGTAAGCGTCATGAGGGTTGCAGTAATCATGAAAGCTTAGTTTCTATCAAGGGTAGCTTGAGATTAAATTGCAAGGAAATATGAAATAATAGGTCTTAGATATCACATATGTATATATTTCTTTTGCCTAGATCCTATTTCATTATTATGTAAGGATTATCTGTAGGTTAAACTCTGCTCTCATGAACGATGAAATTACTCAGAGGACATGGCAGAGACGTCGCTTGAATTTTGTTCTGTGATAATACCAGATCAGGTAAGAAGTCATTAAGCGGGGTTTCGGTAAGTGCCGCCATTTCTGAGCATACTAGCCTCAGTTGGTAATTGGCTATCACCTCAAACAGCACTTGGAGAACGACGCAAGCGTGCTTTTCTGCTTTCACTCTCTGCTCATACTACATAGCCAAGGCGGATGGACTGTCCGTGAATTGGAGGTCGTACCATAGTCTGACCCAGTGACATTATGGCCTCTCAGTCTGAAGAGCGTGACGCTCAGTTCAACGCCCTCATCGATGTTCTGCACAGTGTCAAAAGCGACATATTCGATCCTTTCACCATCACTCGGACGTACTATGAGTCTGCAGGAGTTCAGATCGGTGTCGATGTTTTAATTCCTCGTCAACTCAAAACCCACAACCCGCCAGTCGTCGTCAGGATTCACGGCGGCTTTCTGGTGTGTAAACCTCATTTTCACATTGTAAAGATTCAGCTGACTTCTTTATTAGATCACCGGCTCAAGTTTGTTTCCTGCTTGGTTCTCCAAATGGGTTCTTGACTTTGCAGAGGAGCAAGATGCTGTTATCATCAGTCCCAACTACAGGCTTCTTCCTGAGGTGAAGGGTCGGGATATTATTCATGACATGGGAAACTTCTGGAATTGGGTGCGCTCTGGAGGACCTTCCCGTCATCTCGCAGCAATTGGGCAACACAAGCTTCAATTGAACCTTACCAGGACCCTTGTCGTTGGCGAAAGTGCCGGTAAGCTCGAACCATCTAATGCCAAGACACGTACCATTCACTGACTGGATCATCTCGCTGCAGGCGGATATTTGGCTCTACAGTCTGTTCTGTCAGGTTTTGTGAGACCCAAGGCGATTATAGCCCTTTACCCAATGGTCGATATGAAAGCGGCTCACTTCAGCGAGTCCTATGCCAAGTCAATCGTTGGTGTACCAAACTATCCCAATCAAGATGTCAATAAGTTTCTTTCCGCCACCGTTGTGAAGCCTGCAATCACTGAGGCAGATCCACCTGTGCGACTTGACTCGGCCATGGCAGTCGTGCACAATGGGCGCTATCTGGAACTTCTCGGTGAGGACCCTGACTTATTCATCCTTGATCGGATCAAGAAGGTGGCCTCAACTTCAAATTATGAGAAATCCTTGTTTCCGCCACTATTTCTGCTTCACGGCGAGGAGGATACCGCAGTGCCTGTTGATGGTACGCGGAAGCTGGTAGATTACCTGCAACGGTTTGACCCAAGTACTCAAATTCAGCTGGCTATCAGGCCTGGAGACCATGGGTTTGACTTTACAGCTACCATTGACGAGCCTTGGTTGAGGGAAGGTTTGGATTTTGTCGTTGGTCCATGGCTAGATAGCAGGAGTCTTATATAGACTGCAATAACCCAAATAGTTCTTCTCCATCTTTATCCGAGACCTGACAAAAGCAAACTGTAGACGCAACCTTGAGATTAAGAGTGCAAATTTTGACAAACGTGGCCCAGAATATATGGCGTCATCTTATATTTGGATTATTACAAGTTATAAAGACAGTGGGTTGAGAGCAATACTCTAATCATGACCCGTCCAAGAAACATCTAACCGCGATCCTTTCCTTTATTTTATCTCTATCCCATTAACCGCTCTTGTGCACAACACCAATAATCTTCTCAACAACAGAGGGATCCGAAAGCGTAGTAATATCACCCAGCTGATCCTGCTCACCCATAACCACCTTTCGCAAAACACGACGCATGATCTTTCCAGACCGCGTCTTGGGCAGATCAACCACCATAAAGATCTTCTTAGGAGCAGCAAAAGGGCCGATGCTGTTGCGGACCTGCAGTCTAAGCTCGGCGTGGACTTCTTCCTCAGATGTTCTGAAAGCTTCCTTGAGGCAGACAAAGGCGATGACAGATTGGCCTGTTACTTCGTCGGAAACTCCTACAACGGCGGATTCAGCGACGGCGGCGTGCTCGACCATTGCAGCTTCGATTTCGGCTGTCGAGAGGCGGTGACCGCTGACGTTGATCACGTCGTCGACACGGCCGCGGATCCAGTAGAATCCGTCTTGGTCACGAGCAGCTCCATCACCGGTGAACTACAGAATCATTAGTCAATATTCCTTCAAGCTAGTTCTAGGGAGAAACTCACGTAGTATCCGGGATAAACCTTGAGATATGTCTCCTCGAATCTCTGGTGGTCACCATAGACAGTTCGGGCCATGCTAGGCCATGATGTCTTGAAAGCAAGAACGCCTTCGACCCCGTTGCCGTGGATCTCAGCGCCAGAAACAGGATCGATCAAGACTGTGTCGATACCGAAGAATGGCAGGCAAGCGGATCCAGGCTTGGTGGGTGTAACGCCAGCGAGAGGGGTGACGGCGTGAGAGCCAGTCTCAGTTTGCCAGTATGTCTATTCCAGTCAGTTACGTCCGTCGAAGACCTTTTCATGGCCAACTTACATCAACGATATGGCATTCACCCTTTCCAATGACATCGTAGTACCACTTCCAAATCTCAGGAGCGATAGGCTCACCAACTGAACCGAGAACACGCAGACTGCTGGTGTCATGGTTGACAGGGTCAGATCCAGCTCTCTTCAACAAGCGAAGAGCAGTAGGGGCCACGTAGAAGTGCGTGATCTGATGGTTCGCAATGATATCCCAGAAACGAGAAGCATCAGGGAATGTCGGTGTTCCCTCAAAGACAACTGTAGAGACACCCAAAAGGAGCGGAGCGTAGACCACGTAGGTGTGGCCAGTGATCCAACCAACGTCGCCAGCGCAGAAGTATCGATCGTTCTCGTGAATGTCAAACACATACTTTCCCGTTGCAGCTGCTCCAACCAGGAAACCACCAGTGGTATGCAAGATACCCTTTGGCTTGCCTGTCGATCCAGAGGTATACAGCAAAAACAGAGGATCCTCGGCGTCCATGGCCTCGGGAGGGATGTAGCTAGGCCACTTGGCAACCTGTTCATGCCACCAATGATCCCGTCCCTCAGTCCACGCGACCTTGGCACCGGTTCTCTTGAAAACAAGAGTCTGAACGCCCTCGAGTGGGCTGAGCGCCTCATCAACAATCTTCTTGATTCCGATTGTTCGGCCGCCTCGCTGACTCTCATCAGCAGTGATGACGACCTTGCTCTTGGCGTTGACGACGCGATCTCGCAGCGAACCAGCTGAGAAACCAGCGAAAACAACAGAGTGAACAGCGCCGATACGGGTGCAAGCAAGGATGGCGACCAGAGCTTCGGGAATCATGGGCATGTAGATAGCGACTGTGTCGCCCTTTCGAACGCCAAGGTCCTTGAGAGCCCAGGAGACCTTGCTGACTTGCTTAAGCAGCTCGCCATATGTGATGGAGCGACCGCCGTTCCCATCGTCAGTCTCGTGGATGATAGCAACCTTGTTAGGATCCTTGAGCGCATGGCGGTCAACGCAGTTAAACGAAGCATTCAGCTTTCCGCCAAGAAACCAAGAAGGGTTACCCTCGACTAGCGAGCCGCTCTTGACGGTGTGAAAGTCATGATCCCATGTAAGAAGCTCCCGAGCCAGGTTTCCCCAGAAAGCTTCGGGCTCCTTGATGGAGAGCTGATGCATCTGTTGGTACTCCTCCAAGCCTAGGTTCATTGTAAGTAGGGTAAATATTTCCAGATTGGGATATAACTCACTGCCAATGTGAGGCTTGCTGGGGTGTCCTGAAGGTCCGTTGTTAGTACGCAGCTATTTTACAGCATGGGTTCACGCACGTGCGAGCATCTTGTCGGGAAGATCTAACTCAATCTTAGTACAATCTCAACCAGCAGCAGAATTTTTGGATACGTACACCATTCCTCTCCGTCACCATTGGTGACTGGTTGTGTCGCTATGGGTTGACGCATGATGTAATCGTATGTTGTACTTTTTTATGCAATGAAGTGAAAAGTAGCTGGGAGCGTAGTGCGAAGCTTGGAATTTTATCGATATCGTGAAAAAGTCGAGGTGACTGAAAGGGGAAAAGGGGTGAGCAGAGGATATTAGGTCAGCAGGATCCACGCTCAACCCTTGTCGCTGTTGATTATGGTGATATGACGCAGTGGGCGGTAGTGGAAATCCTTGCCTTGTGATTCAGTGGCTTCACTTCCAATCAGAGGTCAATTTCGCCGATCCAAGCCGCGGTTCATTTGAACTGACTCAGCCTGTTTTCTGAGGTCTCAATAACTCGGCCAACTGTGGGATCTCGCGATTACTATATCTGATGATAAACTTAAGCTTAAGCCTGCTCCATCACCTGCTCGTGAATCACTTGACCACCCTTCTTCGGCACTCAACGCTGAATAAGGGAATAAAATTAGACCAATTCTGCCGTAAGATTCTGTCACCGCCTTCTATAACTAGTGTCAGCGCAACAAGGGAGACCGCGGTATCGGGCCTCTGCCTGCAGCGTAATCTTGGCGATCATTCCACTTATTACCGCAATCGGAAATAGTGGTCATTTTTTGCCGTCGTAATCCCCAAGACCAGTGATTCCTTGTCATGTCATGCACCGCCAGTCTGGTCTGGCAGTTGTTCGCCTTACTACCTTACGAGGCAACATCACCACGTGGAGCGAGTGAGGAGCACGTATTTGGACCCTGCCAAGACGATGAGAAGCTTGTGATGGCTGTGTACCGTATTGAGCCTGAATAACTCATGTGACAGCCGAGTCTAGGGTATCTCATTCCCCTCCTGATTCAGAGGCTCGTGCTTTTTTGTTTTGTTGAGGTTCCCCAACACGACAAAAAAATGGAGGTCCACTGTAACTAATTAAAAAAAACCAAGCGCTATAGGGTTGGCCGAATCAGTTGACAACGCCAAGTCATATGATCAAGCTCGCGATTTGATCTGGCCACGAATATCGGTTACTTCGATGATAAGAACACGCAAGCCAAGACTATGACAGATCCCGAGGTATGTGGATTTCGGAAAGCTTGTGAGTTGCATTGAAGTTGCGCACGTGAAACCCGTCGTTGCAACATGATGTGATTTGATATCGCGATGTTTTTATTTGCAATCAAGTATCTGAACAATGTACAGCATATGACAACGTAGGTTGGATCCTCGTAATAGACACTGAGATATCTGTCAGCGGCAGTACGCAATACAGCTATGAAGTTCTCAATTGATCCTACAAGTCCTTCATGAAAATGGAAACTTTCCCATACCGGGACATGGTATCTATTCAGGCTTCCTTGCATAAACAACCCGCTGGCGATAGAAAGGATGAAACTTTCCAGAACGGATCTCGCGTCGCAATTGAGCGCAGTACACAGAAACTTCCTCCTTAGTCCACCCAAGAACCATATTAGCCATGTAAAGAACATAGCCCTCGTAGTCTTGTTCAAGCGCGGCCTGCGCAAACTGCCCAATTTGCTTGAGTCGAGGGTCCTGAGGCCACCCTCCAATAGGTGCCTGAATTGATCCAAGTCAGTCATTCATACAGGAAAAGGGTGATACAAGCGTACCTTGAAGTCCCAGACTTTCACGTCGACAAAGCCTGCTTCCTCCATCCCCTTCTGCTGCAGATCCTTATCGATGATCTCAAAGGTGCGGTTTAGCTTTTTCCCGCCTTCAATGAAGAACTTTCCCCATTCGTTGATAGCACAGGTTTCGTTTACAGTGCCATCATCGCTTTCCATTCTAGGAGAGGCTTCATAGCTCTCAACCCAGCCGCCGGGCTTGCAAACGCGAAATGCCTCTTTGAACAGGGCAGACCAGTCGCTGATACTTCCATAAAGATAGCGCATGTGCACGTAATCGAAAGAGTTGGGGCCGTAAGTCCACTCTTGGGTACAGTCCTCGATTTCGCTGTTCTCGTCAGGACAAGGTTACAAGATTTGGCCTCGTAGGCTTCTTACAACTTCAGATTTGGCGGAACCCAGTCAGGTTGGATTGGAGAGATATCCGTCCCAACCACTTCGGCATTGGGATACTCATCTGCGAAGTCGCTGCGGCAAGGTCAGTAAAGAACAAAAAGCTCATGTGTGCTAAGTCATCTCACATAGCCCAAATACCTATTGCCTCAATTAGTTTATGCATTCCGAAGGGGTCTCGATAACATACCAGTTCCCGTTCCAACATCTAGGACTTTCTAGATCTTCTGTGAGAAATTTGTTGTAAACGTCCAAAGGTAGCGCACGAACCTTAATGTCATCCTTCAGAGGAGCTAGATGAAGTTTAGCATCCAGAGAGAGAGACAGGAGGTGGTGACTAGGAACTGTCAGCTTATGGTCTCACAGATTACCTCTGTCAACATCTGGCTCACTTAATATCCATAGATTCGTTATGATGCTCATCATTTGGTGTCCTATCCGCGTCAGCTCTGGAATTCACCTTTGAGAAGGCTTCCATACCAGTACTCGGCATTTCCCCGCTCAGAGTGATATGTTCTCCCATGAATGGTGCGGTAGTGAAGAATGCTTGAAGAAATCGACTCAGTCGAACTGGCAGCATCATCGCCGACCGCTGAATCAGCATCGTCATCTCCTGGCGCATCCTATAAATTGTTAATAGTCGTGTCCAAGAAAACTTGATTCTACATACGTTCTCATTCAAGTTGGCCCAATGATCAGGGTTATGGAAATCCTCAGCAGGTTCGGCGGGGTTCTCTGCAGTGGGTGGTTCAGTAGAAGTCTCCTCTGCAGGTGCAGGGGTTGCCTCGGCTGGTGGTGACGATGCAACGGGCGCCTTCGGAGACGTAGCTGCCTCCTTTGAAGTCACTGCCATTTTGCGTATATATCCTGATGATTCTGAGGTGATTCAAAAGTTTGAATGCAAATGAAGAGACGACCAAAGCGGCGGAACTGACAACTCAGCAAGGTTACAACGTGCTGATCTGACGATGAAACCCTGTCTTCTCCACCACCCATGAGCCAAATACCGCTAATTTGCATTATGACATGTATTTATATGGGATTATCATTTTATTATATGGGACAAATTGGCATCGTTGCATTGGAATGCTTATTAAAGCAATGCCATGCTACCTCTTTATCAAATGCCACGTCACTCCACTAGTTCATGCCAATGCATATACGCAGAAACTTAAGAGCGGCATTTATATAGATAGAGAATTATTACTGATAAGTAAGGATGCATAATCGACCTTTCTCTCAAAAGCACCTTTATATATAGTCTGCTCCACATTCTTAGTAAGAAGTAGGCACTATACTACCTTTACAAAAAACTAGGTATGATAAACTAATATAAAACCAGAGAATATCTAAAGTTCTTATAATACATATCCACGCTCTAGCAATACAAACATTGGCTACAACGGCGGATCCCGCAATCAGGGCAATATATATCAATCGCAATGATTTGCCAGCCACGGCCGCAATTACACTTATCACTGTTAGTACTTGATATGAATGTGGTATTGTTAGTAACTCACACATTGCCATCGGGAAATTGAGTCGCTGCCGCCGTCATAAGAAGATCTAGGCGGATTTTGATGGCGAGCTGATTTCAAAGCCCATATTGAGGAATCATAAAAGCCTCGATTTTGTTCGGTGGTTGCTAAAAGGGCCTCGAGACGAATAATTGTTTCCTGAACAGTTGAAGAGTCTGGGAGCTGTATAGATGTATCGATTATATTCTCACATACGAGAGTTGGATATCTGACAACGGTACGTTCTTGTGTATCAAAGTGAAAAGAGTAGGTCTCTGCAGCAGGAAGCCAGGGTAGCTCCGACTGATGGTTTACATCTTCAAAAGAGGGTGGTTCGTCCAGATGGCGTGAGACTTGATAATCTTGGACATCGTTTGTACCAGCGTTACTTTCAGCTGCATCTTCATCTTCTGAGCCTAGGCCCTTTTGCATCGAAATGACTCGCAATGTCAGGAACATTAGGGTCTGTAGATGAGCAGCAATATGACGGGTCATAGACTCATGATTGTTCGCCTTGTGACTCTGGTCTTCCTCGTCCTCAGTAGACGAGAAAATCTCAGTGACATTAAACTGGTGTCGCTTAGTCTTGCGTTTCTTCGTGTTTCCCTCGCTCCGCGACTCGCTTTGACGTTTAGATGGAACATCCTTTTGGCCTTGGTTCTCAACCACAAACCCAACATAAAAGACATTCATTGTATGGTCTTTCTTTAATCCCCTGACTTTGACCGGCAATCATCGAAAGCTGGCCACAATCAAAGGTATCTGATTGATGCTCGCTTGTCAGGTGCTGGAGCAAGTCGTCGCGGTTCGCAAACGGCGACGTATTGTTTATACATAGAGGGCAAACATATGTCGCTGGTGAATATGCTGTCCGATACCAAAATTCATTGTGCTGCTGCATATGACTGGACCACTCTCGAAAACTGGGGTATCCCACTGCAATAGTGCAATGCTCGGCCAAACATATATAAGGCTTAAGATCGTTGTCGACATGCTGCCTAAATTATGTATTGAGCAGAGAATATGGAGATTAAGTATTAAACATACCTCCAGTCAACAGGATCCATATCTCGGCCTTTGAGCGGCTCGCCGCACCATTCACAAAGTCTCGGCTCTTGTCTTTGTGGTTTAGGAGGCGGAGGATAACTGCTTCTGTGAATTGCAATAGATGTTGTTTTATTTAAATCCAAATTTGACGCGCCAGCGTTTAGATGCTGCCAAAACTTGCAAGGGGAAAGGGATGTCGGAGGTGCTAGTGATCGATTGCGTATCTGAACTGAAGCGCCATAGTTTAGTACGGGCTTTCTCAAAGATCCCAGCTCGGGTCCTGGTCTAGCTGTACCCTGGCGCTCCTCTGAGGTTGTTGGTAGCGAACGTTGTTCTACGTGCCTTGCTGCCAGGGTAGCTTGTCGGGTGCCTAAGAATATGATTTTGGTGAATCGATCAAGCATGGACGTGGAAAGGAGATCTTGTAGAGACTGATCAATTCGTGGATATAAGCATTCGATAGTTCTTATGAATAACTTGTTAATAGGCTTTAGTTCGACTTTTTGGGTAAATTGGCTTGCTCTTTGCTCAATAGTCTTTCGTGAGGACCTTTTTATCGCAGTTGCAAGTCGATACAGTTGTTCAAGGGCGTCTTCAATCTCTAGACAGTCCTCTTCATTACTAAATAGAGAGGCTTGGCGCTCGTCAATATCTGTAGACGCAAATCGATATTTTTTCTGAGAGACTGTTGAAAGTTGGTCAGAACTTCTAGTCTCCTTTATTAAAAATTGATAGACAAACTTGACGTTAAAGATCTCCCCAGAGAGTCCAGACCGCGCAGGACGAGGTCCTGAATGTCGATTGCATTACTTAAGCGATGGTCGAGGCACTGGCTCGGTCGGGCGAATATCCCGAGGTAAGCAGCCCAAGTTGAAAGTCGTTGAAGATATTCCTCGAAGAGACCTTTTGCTGCTCTTTGAGTTTCACTATCAATAAGATTCTGAAGTATAGTTTCACATTCCGTAGCCAGGATGCGAATCGAATTGTGACTTTCTTGGTCGTGATTCTCTGACATTATGGAATTCTATGAGTTATAAACGTAAAACTTTTACGAATCTTTAAAACACCTGAGGTGCTGATCCTATGACCATTTGCAATACGCGAAATTACTTAAATCCGCGAGCGGGGAAATTTATGCATCGAATCGAGCTGCATTGCTGAGGTTGATTGACAGCCTGATTTTGGTAGCTCAATACATTTGCTGACCCTCAACCCTTCAAATGTATAGTCTATCGGCATATTGGCTTTGAACTCGCGGCACAAGCTCTCATTCCTCCAAGTTCGAGAATGCCTTATTCAAGTGAGAGTCCTGAGTGGCGCTTGCTACATGAAGTAGCCAAGTTAGTAACGCCGCATCTCACACGCTATCAACCCTCAACGCGCAACTGGCAGAATTCCACGACCAACAAACAAAACGAGGCTTTGGAGAGAAACTTACGAGAAGCTTTTCTTGCAAGAAATCAGAAAATCCACTTTGAAAAGGAAAGTTTTGAGCTCTTCAGGCATAATCTCGATCAGTTATGTTGCCTGTTAAATGAAGCAGTAAATCCTATCATCACAAAGGTTTCGGGGACAAACAGAACGTATCCTTACTTATCTGGACTTTCGATCTTTCTGGAGCAGCTTGAGATGGTTGGTTCAGGCCTCTACAACCTAGTAACCGGTCCCAATCAAAGTCTATTCAAGTTTACGGATGACATGAAGACAAAATGCCTTACTGTCACGAGAGAATACAACAGTCTGGTCACGAGAGCCCTTGCAAAGGCCCAGAAAGCAGAAGCCAATGTCCCTCGGCGGGTAAAGAGGAACACCTGGAAAGATTTGAGGCTAAGAGAGTTGGCTTCTGAAACGTTTCAGTTGGTCTTTGAGCGTTTCAGTTGCAAAGCAAATCATAGGCTTCTTCTGGAGCTTGCAGTAATGATGCCTGGGCAAAGCACGTCTCCTGAATTGCAGCTATTCCTATCGGCGTGTTCAGATAACGCAGAACCAGAATCATGAAAAGTCGTCTATTGTACATCTGGCGGGTGCTGATGTCTTTCCATACGTGCTTATACAATACTGACGGTAATTGCCAGACAAAAGGATTCACAGAAAGAGATTATTGACCTATGTTATGAAATGACGAGTGCCTCTGGGCAGAACTATAAGCTACAACTATTGCCGCAGAAAGGACAGCTTCTAAGTGCCAGGATGCCAATATTGTCCCATGACTCCAACAGCCATCCGATTCTCAAGAACTCAACTAGCCAGTCTCTCGCTGAAATGATTACCAGTGGCATGTTCAAGCGTCAAACGGTTCGAGATCTGATTGCACAGCAACAGGGCAATCAACATGCTAAAGTTCACTATACACTCAAAGCCAAGAGAGCGCTTGCTGCCGAACTAGGATACTGCGTGTTGGATTTCTTCGATGCTAGCTTGGATTCTAAAGATATATGCTTTTTTGGGTCATTGGACAACTACACCGGAAGGGACAGGTTATACCGTTCATTCTCGTCTCAATTCCCTAGCTCTCCGGAATTCCGAGCTTTCCGTATTGGGCATCCAGTATTGCTTTCCTTGGCAAAGATTTTACTGGAGCTAGATGATGGAGAGGCCATACCGCTAGATATACGTCCTCACTATGGCAAAGAAAATGATCGAGCATGGTTGCAGCTCTTATCAAGCTTGGACGTCTTGCAAGAAGGAGGCGCAAGGCTAGAAGACTCCTATACGGAAGCCATCAGAGGGTGTCTGAACGTTCATAGCCAACTTCAACACGTCAAAGCTGAAGGTCCTCAAGCAGATATGCTTATTCGAGACAAGCTCTACCACCACATCGTCCAGCATCTCGAGACTGCTTTGGAAAACTGCTTACCAAATCTTGGTTTAAAACGCCAGCACTCTATGAACCCAGAAATCGAATCAATAATGGAGCCTATGAACAAACGAATCCGCACAATAGAAAATAATGCCGACTCTGTGCATGTCTCTGACATTCCCGGAGAGCCATCAGATACATATCGTGAGCTGCCACGACGGCAAGATGGCTTAGGCAAGGACGTTCCTGCTGAGTCAAGGCCGCACTTTGATACAAAGGCCGGATCTTTTAAGGGAGAGGCTCAGCCTTCAAAGGATCGGTGCGGCTTTAAGGCCGCCATTATATGCGCTCTACCACTAGAATTTGACGCTATCCGATCACTCTTTGACTCCATCTGGCAAGAGCAGCATCACCACTACGGTAAGCTCAAAGGCGACACGAACCACTACGTCAATGGGCGTATAGGCGACCTTGACGTTGTTGTTCTCCTTCTTTATAGTATGGGCAAAGTAAGCGCAGGAACTGCAGCTGCCCGCTTACAATGTTCCTATCCAGAGTTAGAAGTGGTCTTCCTAGCTGGTATCTGCGGCGGTATCCCAGAAGTACAATCACCTAACGGTGGAAAAAGAGCAGTCCTTCTTGGTGACGTTGTAGTCAGTTCACACATGGTACAGTACGACTTTGGAAGAAGGTACCAAGACAGCTTCGTGACCAAACAGCTTCGTGACCAAACAGCCGATCCATACTGCGAGGAAACTGATAAACAATTTTCTTATTCACTTGAAAACTGATGTTTTTCTTGACGACGTTACGGCAAGATCAGCAGAGATTTTGGAACGAATCCAGCAGAGCAACCCGAAATATCAGCACCCTGGTTCAGCTAGTGATCGGCTCTACGAACCAACCTACCAACATCAGATCGACACTTTGGTACTATGCACATGCTTCAGCAGCCCAAGCCTAATATGCGAGCGCTGTCGTGGTGTCTCCTGCGACGAGGCGGGATGCGATGAGAAATTCCTTGTAGCGAGATGTCGACTGCAGGAGAAAATGCTCTTGGAAGAGCAAGGTGATATTTGCGAGGCACAAAAGCCTTTGATCTTTCTGGGGCGGTTTGGTTCTGGAGACACAGTGCTCAAGTCGAGTAAGGATCGAGATGGACTTGCTGAGCGGCTTGGCATTGCGGCTTTTGAGATGGAGAGCGCTGGTTTGTGGGAAGACTTGCCATGTGTTGTGGTGAAAGGTGTCTGCGATTATGCAGACTCTCACAAGAATAAGGAATGGCAAAACTTTGCTGCAGCAACGTCGGCTTCTGTTGTTAAAGCTTTGTTAGAACGCTATATCATAACTGATAAATAGATTCTAAGACTTAGGGTTTAAGTGTATATATCAGATTATTCAGTTGAAATGCCATTGTAGTTCTCGGTATTACCTTGACACAATTGTGACATGAGCCTCATCAACTTAGGAACGGGCCGAAAATAGCATTGGATGCTATGAAGCATGGTCTGAGCAGTAAGCTTTGCATTCTTGCCGTATATCCGAACGTGATGGAAGAGGAGCATGGAAGGACCGGAACCTCTGTTGCGAGTGTACACTGACCAACTATCAGGTCCAATAGTACACTCTATATGAGAGGTATCTTTAACTCGGATACATTATGTTTTCATCCGTACTTCCGATGAGTCTTTTCTCTTAAAGGTCCAGACAGATAGCGGTTGCATCGAGCGCAGGAGAAGGTTGAGCCTCGCGAAATTTTCCGACATCAATTGAGGACTTATGGAATAACGGCTGGGGTCCAATGACATGATCTAATGAGAAAAAAGAGGATAAGAAGAATAAACTTAGTTCTGGTCACAGATAATGAACTGCAGCTGATAAATACGCAATGCGTCCAACCAAAGACTCCAGACGCAGCGCATGAAAAGGAGCCTCAATGCAACACAACCAAACCTTCTGTAATCCTAGCATCGGCAAATTCTGTGACACGGCAGTTGTGATATACGTGATATGACTGCGGTGATGACGACGTCTACACTCTGCAATCTATCTCCCTCCGCGAATTCCGAATGCCGTATCTCCTCTGTGCGAATGAACACTCGTTATCGTCGACATCTGCTTACTTTATCTGTCTTATCATTGCTCTCCCGTTCACATCTGCCGACGACATTTATTAGCTCCAACGCAGGCATGTCGCAGGGAAAAACTCTCCTCGCCTCGTTTTCCCAGTAATGAGCGGTTGCTAAATAATTATGATGGCATTTATTTACCAAAACGTAAAATTGCGCTCGGATATTTGCATCATCTCTACTTGCCGTGTTTACTTGCCGAGCTGGTGGATCATTTTGTCCCCAAATACCCCAGAATGGCCTGTGGGGGCAAACCTGGAGTACCCGAAGACCGAGACTGTCATCAAGATCTGGTCTAAGTGGAAAGTGATATAAGAAGAGAGTATGCTAGAGTAAAAAAGAAAATAGGAAATAAACCACTTCAGTACTTTGTTCAACAATTCTTTAATATCTTTGCCCTTTTTGTGCCTTCAACATGCACAGTGGCTTGGTTGAAACTCTTCTCAGTGCCCTCGCCCAGCATTGGGTGTTGGTACTTACATCACTGACTGTCGCGTGTCTGGTCAAGAACAGATATCACCATGGTCTAAATAAATACCCCGGTCCTTTTCTGGCGTCTTTGACGGATTGGTGGCGCTTCTGGGATGTTTATGGACAGCGACCTGAAGTGACACTGCAGAAACTCCATGCTAAGCATGGTGATATTGTCAGATTGGGGCCAAACACTCTATCATTTGCCGACCCTGCTGTTCTCAAGTCCATCTATGGCCTTAGCAAGGGCTATGTCAAGGTATGTTCTTACGTCCAAGCCAAGAAATCTTGATATTGACTATCTCAGTCCGACTTTTACATCGTCCAACAATCCGTGGTCAAGGGCCACCGTCTCGCATCTCTCTTCAGCACTACAGACAATGACTTCCACTCCCAATTCCGCAGATGTGTCAACTCTGCCTTCTCCATGAGCGCACTGGTCCAATACGAGCCCTTTGTCGACAACACCACCAAGCTGTTCTTGGAACAGACCGAAAAGCTCTTTGCCAAGAGGGCTGATGTCTGTGATTTTACACAGTGGCTTCAGTTCTACGCTTTTGATGTAATTGGCGAGATCACTTATAGCAAGAGACATGGATTCATTGAGAAGAATGAAGATGTTGAGGGTATTGTCGCGTACCTGGGCAAGCTGTTCCTCTATGTTGCACCTGTAAGTCATCCGTTCACTTGGTCATGTTCTTGACTAACAGATCTTAGGTCGGACAAATTCCTTTCCTTGACCTAATCTTCCAGAAGAATCCCATCTACCTCAAGCTCTCCCAATGGGGACTCTTTGACTCAACAATCGCCGTTGCACGCTTTGCACGCGCCCGCATGGCTGAACGTCTCATCCCTGAACTCAAGTCTGTCGATAGCCTCCCCACCAGCAATCTTAAGAAGCAACCCCTGGGTCAAGACTTGCTTTCCAAGTTCATCGCTGCCCGTGAAGCCCGCCCCGAGTTCATGACAGACACTCTAGTCCAGACCATGGCTGTTTCTATGGCTTTTGCAGGTTCAGAAACTACAGCTATTACTCTCTCTGCAGTCTTCTACTACCTCCTCCGAAACCCCGAGTGCTACCAGAAGCTCAAGAACGAGCTTGATGAGGCTGCCAAGGCTGGTGTCTTTTCTGACTACGAGTCTGGTCTGGTCACGTTCTCCGAGGCTCAGAAGTTCCCTTACCTCCATGCTTGTGTCCAAGAAGCTTTCCGAATGCACCCAGCGCCTGGTCTTCCCCTTGAGCGAATCGTTCCTCCCCAAGGAGCGGAGATTGGAGGCGAGTTCATCAAGGGCGGTACAATTGTCGGTGTCTCAGCCTGGATCATCCATAACCGCCCAGAGATCTTCGGAAACGATACTGATAAGTACCGACCTGAGCGCTGGTTGCCAGACCCCAACCTTGACGCTGAGGAGGAAGATAAGCGCATCAAGAAGATGACGGGTATGATGTTCCAATTCGGCATGGGTAGCCGAACATGTATTGGCAAGAACATCAGTCTATTGGAGATCTATAAGGTTGTGCCTAGTCTTCTAAGACGATTCGAGGTAAGCTATACTCATCCCGCGCTTATATGAAGATAATACTAACAAGAAGCAGATTAACTTTGAGGACCCAAGCAAGGAATGGAGGATCATCAACGCCTGGTTTGTCAAGCAGACAGATTTCAACGTCAAATTCACACGGAGAGAACTCGTACAGCCGGAATTCTCAGAGAAGCAGGAATGAACGTTTAATGAAGTGTAATGACATAGATTGTAAAAGTTTATATCACTTATAGATAATTCTAGGCAATGCTGCTGCTCTTGATGATGGTTCCGAAGGCATCGCCAATCTCGCTCAGTGAAACCTTGACCAGCTGTGAGGCGTCAACGCCGGGGATATCGCGATCACCAACGGCATCCTCAGGGATGATGACGTCAAAGCCAAGCTCGTCAGCCTGTCGCGCAGTAGTCGAGACACAGACATGGGCCTGGTCGCAATTAGTCTCATATCTCAGTTACGTATAACTCAACGACTTACCATGTAGCCTGTAAGAACAACCTTCTTCTTTCCAGTCTTATCCAAGACGCTCTGAAGATCCGTCTTGGTGAAAGAACCAGGGAAGTTCTTGTGGATAACAGCCTCGCCGTCCTTGGGCTTCAGCTCGTCAAACTCCTCAGCGAGCTTAGTACCCGGGGTGAAGACCGGTGCGCCCTCTGGTGTATCATGGACAACGTGCACGATACTTCCATTTGCGGCTCTGTATTTCTCCAAAAGCCCAGCGATGACCTTTCGCGACTCAGCAGCATTGGTAACTTTAAGCTGTCCCTCAGCGTACTCATTCTGCGCGTCAATGATGATAAGAACGCTATCAGAGGGGCTGGCCGTAGAGGCGGGAATGCCAACGAGGTCGCGGAATGAAGTTGCTGAGGCCATGTTTTGTCGCTGAATATGTCGTGAATAATGAGTATTGTTACAACAGATGCGTATGTCGTTATATAGTGGTTAGGTCATTGAAATGACCCCTCACCTGGAGCAATGGGTTAACTTGATGATATTCCCATTACTCAGCAACCAAGGTCGAATTAAGGGAAAAAAGCACGTAATTGGAAGGAAAGCCGACAAGCAATTAATCCAGGTAGAGCGTCAAGTCACCAATTATGCCTTGACTAGGCTGGATGTTGACTGTTGTGTCCTTTGGTCCGAAGAGCTAGAGCAGATATCATTGGATGAGATCATTGGGTTTATGCCCAATTTGTATATTATAGCCGATTATATGGGTCTTCAATTCCATCCACTGGTCCATCACTCACAGTACAGTAATAAGTAACGTTATAGCCATTGATGATTTCTAGAAGTGACTATAATGTCTTACATAACGCTACTATAGTCATTTGAACCTCTCCAAGCGATTTGCACTAGTACGATGAGGATTATCCTGAGTTGATCTCGCCTCCTTCTGAGTAGTTGATTCTTGTCAATTATGAGGGTATTATTAGGGAATACTATAGTCATAGGATGTCCAGCAATTTAACCGTATATCATCCTCCCATCATTAAATCATTTTCAATAGACTATGGCGAAAGGGTATACCCATTTGTCCCATATCCATAAGCACATACATTCCGTGCTTCCCACTTCAAAAAGTCGCCCAAGTCATGATCCAGATTACAACCCATCGGGGGTATTTCAGACTTATCCAAGTCCTTCCCATCTAATGAGATCTGAATTGGCATCATTGGACTCATCGGGCTTGACAAAGAGCTCGCTGTGGAGCTATCAAGGTCTTCCTGGGTCTCCGCCCATTGCTGGGTCTTTTGTCGTATCATCTTTGGTCGAATCGGTTTCGGCGACTTGAGCGGAGGCATGCGGCAGTCTATGGTCGGTCGGATAATTGTTAGGTGTTTTGTTTCGTCTTGGCGTTTGGTGTTTAGGGCGTTGGTGAGAGCCTCGAATGCTTTGTCTGTTTGGCGGGTGATGCACTTGTTGCAATCTGCAGAGGCACTCAATGTGTGTCTGTGATCTAGCGGTGTATTGTTGTTACTTGAGGCCGGAAGATTTGGCATCATTGAATGCCTTTGTTGGCGCTGTGCCATTCCAGATAGGTTGGTTGTTTGGAGTCGCAGTGGTGATCTTCGTCTGAGTTGTGTGATATTTGTGCCACCTAATTGTGACCGTCTGTCATCCAGACTGCTGTCTCGTTTTATATCTGATCCGTCTCTGCTAATAACAGTGAGGAACTCCTCCTTTCCTTCGAAGCTGCTTGGCCGTAACACGCATGCAGACTGGCTATGTTGGTCCAATGAGGGTGAAAAGGACATGGAACTGCGGACGTCGTGGACTGCAGAAACAGTCTGAATGAAGATGGGCTCGGAATCAGCGACGCTTCCGAGTGGTTTTGCAGTCGTCGGCCATTTTATTAGTGATAGAGCTGGTGATGCTGGCTCGGCGCTGGGTATTTCTGGGCTTTCGAACGACAGGGATGGCTCGCTCTCGGTAGGTGATTTTGTAGCGGGCGTTTGCGATAGCTGGAGAGCCTTGCATCGTTGCTCCCAAAACTCAAGGCCATCGAACCTCTTTACCATTGTGGAGTTGGCATATGCTAGCAAGATAGTAAATCCATGGAATAAATTATGTCTAGTGAAGAGAAAAAGTAAATATGAAGAAAAAAAGAATGGGTCGTTTCGTTGAAATTATACTGAGACAATAACATGATCAAGGGAGCATCCCTAGAAAGGACGAGGGCAAAGCTACTGTAATTAGACACAAGCCCCATTTACATTCCGGCTCTGTTACGATGTGACGTCCTCGTATCAAGCAGGGTCTAACACGGTAGATTCGGCGACACCTACGAGCTACAAGGGTTAATTGATGGTATCGTGACATTCATTTTGTGGCTCGTGCCGATTACGTCTGGAACGAGCCGTTGACTGTTGGCACAGCCACGCTCCACTAACACGAGATAAAAATAGCACCAATAAACGTGGTCTGGTTCTGCAAGCTTGGGCTCCATTGAGTTAGTCACGCGCAACCTGGACGCAGGTGAGATTTGCTGGGAAGAAAAGTATTTAAGTTTCTGGTATCCGAGGAGTCCGACCGGACTTTGATAGGGAAGTGGCTGAAGACAATGTTACGCGACTATCGCCCTGGCTTAGATACATGACGTAGCGTGTCTCTGGGTTACCCTAGAGATTATCAATTTCAGGATAATGCGATTAGCAAAGGGATAAATCCCCCTTCAAATGGCTATTGATTAAGTTCAAGGAAAAGGATAAATCCGGATTACTCCTTAGACATGTACCAAATGCTGCGACTATTAGACCACGGTAGTTTACTTATAAATAAGGTTAAATACGCAATGCTTTTAAAAACACCATCACGTCAGGGGTCTGAGTCATGGATTCATACTATAGTACAATGCGTAAACACAACGACATGCAAGATAAGCGAGCCGTCAACACTTACGAAGACGTCAGCAGGCCTCTAGCCTTTTTCTCGGGTAACGTTGAGCTGTGTTGGCAGAACAGTTCATTTAGCCGGAATATGCCGTTCGCCACCTGGACCAATGTCAGAGCTGCTGTCAGTGCAATCTAGACTCCAAGAAGGAATATCGCACTCGGAAGCCAGCTCAAACCAGTAATATCACAAGCTACAATGGCCAAAACATTAGTAATTCTTATCTTGTTCCTATCTCTATCGCGCTGAGAGGAATACGCAAAGCTTCCCCGTGGGGCATGAACCCCTCTAGCCGAGATTTCCGAGGTTCACTACCGCTTGTCCCACATGGGTCCAGCCCCTTAGCCCCTAGCAGGGGGCCTCATCTACCACCACTCAGCGAGACAGTGAAGTTTGGGGTAAATCTGGGGTTCATTCTCTCTGCTCCTGCTCCTCCTCTTCAACCTCGGGTACCATCGTCTCCGCCTTGTACCAGGATGAACAACACTCAGCAACCGATTCGCTTCGCCAAGAAGCCTGTCTCGAGGAAGCGCGCGACAAAGGCGTGTCTTAAATGTCGCAAGCGAAAGGTCCGGTGTGATGTCACCCGCACGTCTACGCCTTGTACAAACTGTCGACTTGACGGCTGCGAATGCGTCGTCGCTCGTCGCGCTGATGCTTTGTATGTTATCGATATCACCACCGCCTATGATATACTGACGTGTTGTAGTCCCATTCCTCATCGAGGCGCGTCCGTCGTCTCCGACAATGCCGACCTTATTCGGGACTGTGAAGCCGTCACGGCAGCTGCATCCACGTCGCCGTCTTCGAACCACGATAACCCTACGAGTCCTGTCGACGATGCGACTGCCGTGCTACATACACTAGAAGAGAGCGAATACAAGACATCGGTCGAGCATCAGGAGCGGGTAGACCTCGAGTCGCCCACGACGAATACCACCGAAGATGTCGTCGAAGAGATTAGAGAAATCCCACCATATACACCCTCAATTATCGAAGAGCCCAGCGAACCCGTTCGATCCGAACTCAAAGCTCTATACTCATCAATGCCCTTCCTGAGGACCCTCAACATGCGCGACTGCGATTTCTACCATCTAAATGCTCAAGGCTGTCTACGCGTCCCTTCCAAGCCGATCCTCGACGAATTCATCCGACATTACTTCCTCTACATTCATCCGTTACTCCCTCTTATCAACGAAGCCGATTTCTGGAATGCGTACGATCCTACACCTAATTCTGCGACGTCCGGGACGCCTGTTTCGATGCTTCTGTTGCAATCGATGATGTTTGCTTCGTGCACTGTACGTTGACATCACCACTTTCGTGTGCTGGTTGTTCTAACAAATAAAGTTTGTCTCAAAGGAGAGTCTCCGCACGCTGGGATTCGCCACCATCCTCGAAGCCAAGGAGGCTTTCTACACCAAGGCCAAGGTAAACAATATATGGTATTGTTAGCAGCGCACTTTCTGACCTTGATGCAGCTTCTATACGACTTCTCGACCGACCCCGATCCAATCTCCATCGCACAATCTGCTCTCCTCCTGACCTACTGGTGTCCGACCTTCCGCTCGGGACCTGGCAAGGCGAACAGTAGATGGCTCCGAATTGCGATTCAACACGCTAAGTCATGCGACGCCGATAGTTACGACTCCCCCTCTTACGGACTACACATATCACAACAAGATGTCAAGAGACGGAACATACTCAAGCGTATCTGGTGGTGCTGTATTATCCGCGATCGAATCATGCCCCTCTGCGTTCGCAGGAACATCCAGATTACTAGTGCCCATTTCGACTTTGCGAACTGCTCCCCACTATGTTACGACGATCTTGTCGATGAACTTGAGTCATCGCGGGTCTACAACATCGCCACAAAGCACAAGCTCATCCTCACATTAGAACGCCTTACAGAACTCTGCGTTACTTTGACAGACGTCCTGAGCCTAGTATATCCTACCGAGACCTTGCCGATTTTAGACGCGGAAGCACATTCGACAGCATATGCGCAAGTGCAGGAGCATAAGAGGTCACTCAAGAATTGGGCAGTGGCTACAAGACCACCGCTCGCCATTCAAGATTTGACATTGAGTTCAGGAGGATACGAGGACTCTGCAGTATTGTTCACGAATCTAGTCTGGATCTACTTCCAGTAAGCTCACCTATTACCACTTGAAACTCAGTTACTGACAATTTCTTCAGCGCCAGCCAAGTCGCCCTCTGCAACTACGAACTTCACCTCGGTCTAATATTGGGTCTCGTCAACCAAAATCCCACCGCATCACACGAGACGCAATTCCTCAAGAACAACAGAAGGGATCTCCGAAACGCCACCAAAAGCATAGCGGAATGCTTTGCCCGACTACACCCCCACCGACTCACCCGTTGGCTACCCAGCAGCGCTGTAGCATGCACAGCCCTCCCTCTCGCGATGCACATGGTCGACATGAAGATGTCCACTGCCTCTTCCGCGACCGAGATATGGGCCCGTCCAGAAGTTGCTTCCAAGCAATCGCGACTCAACGTCCTCATCCAAGTTTTCAGGGAGCTTCACCCCAAGTACGACGGCGTTCACTCTATTTCCAAGACCATTCGATACTTTATGGAGTGCAGTGACCGCGAGGAACCTCCACAAATGATGCTTACCAACGATCACGCTGATGTACTGGCTCGAAGTCCAACGCAATATCTTAGACTGGCTTTGACCATCGATGTGTGTCTTAGTCAAGATCGCCTGGCTCAAGATAGTGACTTTCCAGCTGCTCTAAGGCGTTTCTTCAACAGGAACCGTTCTTTGATGCCCATGCTACTAGGACAACCACAATTCGCGCCAATGCCAATGACACAACAGATATCCCTCCCTCGACCATTGTCGCCAGCAACATATGCGAAAAGCTTTTCGCGATGGATGGAAGACGACCCATCCGTGGGTTTTGCTATGCAGATGGGTATAGACATAGGACCCCAAACGCCTATAGTCTACGAAGTTGCGGAACGAGCGCAAAAGACACATTCCGAGACTACGGAAGAACCATCTCCTGTGTCTGAGCGGTCACAGTTCAGTGAATCGGTAATGGGCATGGAGACAACGGAGGATCTGTTACAGCGTCTTCAGGGGGCAGTGAGTTGGGCTCAGAATGATCAAGCTTTGTATTTTGCCCAAGAGATGGGTTTGCTCTCCGATGGAATTGGGTTTAATCAGGGCTATTTGTAAAACAGCTTGCAAGCGTTGAGATTTAATGACATGACATGAATATCTACATAATCAATATTGCTCTATTATTTACCATAGCCTTTCTGTTCTGTCTGAACCCTTGACGTTATGCCCCGGTTTGTTATTCTTGCTACTCAGTTTCCACGAGGGTACATCCGGCTACCACCATTTCCAGAACTTGTATCTGTAGCGGAATGCTCAACATTGCTCAAAAGTTCAATACTTGCATCCGAGTATTGATACCCTCTATCCTCCTGTCGAGAAGAATCATCTGCAGAGTCTTTCTGCCTACCCTTCTCATCCGATATCGAGTCTACAGCAAAGAGAGTCACCATATCCTCGTCTATACCTTCCAGCCTGCATCCCTGACGTCGCAATACCAGGCGAGTATCTCCAAGATGTCTCGACAAAGGCTCTGCGCCAGATGTTTCTGCTGCAGGGATGATAGTGTCGATATCGGGGTTCCTTGTAGTCCGCAGAATAGTTGAGAAAGTTGTTGCATAGGATGCCGATGCAGACTTGATGCATAGCAGTCCGACGATGACAATAATCGCAGAAGCCAGTAAGCCCATCCCATATGCAATGAACAGGTTGCGAGGCTCATAAGAAAAGGCGATTTGCGTGGTGAGGTAGGTGATGTTACCATGAGATGCAGCGGTATCGTTTTGCCTATTGGAATTGTTAACAGAGCTCCGGTCAAAAAGACAACACGAGTGCACTTACAGTAACTTTGAGTTACTGAAGAGGCTTATCGTAGCATTGGTAAACAGCTGCTCCAATGCATCAGCCATGGAGATATTCCCAATTACAGACTCTGGTGCTTCTGAGCGGTCTGTCGCCGCATTTACGCCACCAAGAACTTGCATCTCTTTGGCATCCATGAGAACAGAGCTCATGATCTGTGTCTGGGTTGGACGCATAACACCGTAGTGCGATATCCCCAGACTCCCAAGCAGCAGCTTACCCAGGGAATCCATGAGCGCGATATAAGCAACAGCAGCATTGAACTGACTGGAGCCTGTATCCTGGTTGAGGCCGGCATCGATGGATGTCACTCCCTTCAGTCTCTTAGACTTGTAGGTAATATTCTGCCGGCCGTTGTCAAACGTGAAGTTGACGGCATAGGATGAATTATAAAGAGAGCACTCGATCGACTTGTTTGCCATGATATAACTGCTGGACGCGGGCTTATCCGGCACGACAACATAGAGCTTAGCCGAACTGGTGGCGTTGGCCGTCTGATCAATAGACGATACCGTCGAGATGAGAGAGTAGTTCATTGCGCCCCGCAAACCAGCCAAGGCATAGCCCTCCTCAGTGCTGTTCATTGTGTTACTACTTGGAACAAACCCAACGTATCCGGCGGAATCTCCGCAGCATGTCTCGTTCTTAACAGCTTCAGCCAGAAGTTTTGCAAAGGACGCATTGCGAGGTGTACCGCATGAAATTGAAGGGCCGTAAAAGTCGACGGAATATGACGAATTGGGAAAGGGTGCTGGGATAGTCAGGATAGAGCCGAGAGATGCCACTGATAAGAGCACCCGTGAGACATAGCTCGAGGGAGCGTAGTATCCAACTCCACCTACTCCTGTGAATTGAGCAAAGTTGAGCATGTTATCGTAGTCGAGCAGTGGAATGGGAGCGTCGACAACTGTGACATTTGGATGGTCAGATACCTGGACGGTAAGTGTAGCTGGAGTAATAACTGCAATTAATGGGAGCGCCCTATAAGAAAATGTCAGTAAACTGTAAGTAGCTCGATGTTCTTATGGAAGGCCTACCAAGCTATTATTGCCACCACAGCGAGTGCCGGTGCCGCAGTCCAGAGCTCCCAAGTAGTAAAGTCCCAAGCATTATGCAAGACGCCAAAAAGCGAGTTGACGCCCTCGATAGTGACGGATTTTGATCTTAAAGTTCGCCATAGTATTTGCGTGTATGCGAACCCGACAGCTGCTGACAACAGGGCTCTTGCGAGGAACGCTATACCGGTGCCGACACGGAGAAACCACTCCTGTTGGTTTTGGCTCTTGATGACCCTCCCGTCTAGATAATGGTAGTAAAGATGATGGCCGATGGCGAGTAGTAGTCCCAGGAATAGACTCCCTGTCATGAGGACGGGGGTCAGCTTGTGGATCGCCATGTTGCGGTGTTTGTGGGGTGCTGGCAAGGTTATTAATCGTCGCCGGGAATGGTCGACCTTCTCGATTAGAAGCGCGACCCCGGGAATAAGACAAATCTTGGTTTCGTCTGGAGAGACTCCCAACTATATACCATGTCGTAATCGTCGCTGCGTTAAGTGAAACTGTAAAAAAAGATGAAAAAAAAAGAGCCATGTCAGGCAGAATCTCGCAAGGTTATCCCGTTTTCTGCCTTGGGGGCCAAATCCAATTAGGCACCCTGTGAAGAGCCTCCAAATATCTTACCCCGCAACATGAAACATCGTCGTATCGGGGGCGATTTACAGGGTTGCATAGGCGTAAACTGTGTTACCTAAACATTCTTGAGAGAATGCAGATGTGCTATTTGTTGTCAAGACCTGTAGCTTATAATCACCGCAGAGAGCTTGGCTTCAGAGAATATGCATTGAGGGCTTGTTCTTGAATAGAATTATCAATGCACATACCAGACTCTCAGTTCCAAGTATCCTTGAGCCAAGGTACGTCGTCTTCAGCAGGCTTCATCCCGGCCTGAAGCCATGCAGCTACAGCACCAAGCTCTCCCCATACTCTAAGCAGGTTCGCGAACTATGCCCTCAACTACCTCGTCCTTGATCCCCTGGTCCAGCATCTCGTCCACCAGGTCTGGAAACTTTGAAACGTCCTCCAGCCCCCGCAAGGTCGCTGGCACGCCATCAAAGTCGCTCCCTATATGGCGCGACCAGCGGTGTTGAATACTTCTGCCCCCTCGAGCACGCTACTGGATATGAGAAAACAGGATGATGAGGCTCGAGCCTTTGCTGTTTCTGTCCTGACACCTTAATCATTGAAAAACATTGGCAACTATATCATTGAGCTGCCTACGAAACACTTTGTTGCCTAGTCCTCGAAGTAGGCAAGTAACTGACCACAGGTCTTAGGTGTGGTATGGGAAGAAGACCAAGAGATTTGGGGGAGTGACAAGACAACGGTATACATCCAATGCTTGAGAAGGGTTTGGGCTACAAGAGAAGCTGATCAGTTAGCATCCGATGTGCACAGTTCAGGTGCATCTTACGTCTAATATGGGGCAAGCGGCGGCCAGCTCATTAAAGCCCCCAGAACCGATCTTGCTAGGGACTTTCGTGAGCCCTCGGTGAGCGGTTGGCTTCCTGCTTTTTCAAGTAAGCGCTCCTTATCGGCTGCTGTATTTGTTTCGGGATGCATTTCTGGTACAATTGGCTTCGCTGTTCTGCCGCTTTGGTTGTACATTACTTTATGATAACAACAGAGAACTCGATATGTGCAGAACACGAGAATGATGGCTTTTAGAAATAAGATGCGGAGCTAATGCCGGCTGTGGGGAAGGCTGAAATAAAGATCACAAGGGACTACTTCTCGTTGTTTGATCACTAATCACGAGAGCATAATCGGAGATCAGTCTTGCCGTGACTGAGCCAGTCCACCCTGAACAGCACTATGTGGCTTGCAGCATGCATACCTGCCTGCTGTGCCTGAAAACAGAAGAGGGCAACTAGCCTTCGGTCTGGAGAACTAAGAAGTCGATTATTAATTAGTTTAATGAAGGGTTTCATGTTACTGATCTAAATCATTTGAAGAATGACAACTATATCACAGCGAAACTAAAACTCAATCCAGCGTATAGACCAACTTGTCACCGCTCACGGTGCCATTCCAAACTTCCTCGAGTCCCTAGAGCACTGAAGCCAATCCAGAGCCCTGAGCGTTGACCTTGGGCTTGTGAACCTGAATCTTGCTCTTGGTGAGCAGACTTTCAGCAAGAACCCAGAAGTGACGAGCAAAAGCAGTATCTTCCGGCTTTGCAGGAAACGTGTGGGGCCCCAACTGAAAGGCTTCACCACCGTCCTACCACTGCGAGGCATGTGGGGTTCCAGGAGCAATTCTATCGGACATTTTCCTGACAGACGGGGGTGTTATGTAATGACGATCTTGGGTGGTGCGAGACAGGCGCTACTGATCAGTAAACATAAGAGGAAGCAGTGTCAAAAGAAAAGATGGCTATGACCAATCAAACAGCCTTCACTCAATCCGGGGTTCAGCGTGCCCGGTACAGAGGTACCTGACGGCCCACTTGCCATCGGGTCGTTTAATAATACCGACCTGCTGATCAATCAGTGGTTAGAGTCTACAACCACCCAGAACGGCATTAGGACCACACGATACTGACTGCTTTGGTTGGCTAGCTATCTCTACCGTAACGCCCATCAATGCTTTTCAAGTTTCCTGCACCAACTGTGATATGCCAAATGGCCCATCCCTGAAGTGCTGCCTCGTTTGCCCGTCTGAAGTTTGGATAATAGATTCTGCATCTGCTACCAGTTGGACTCTTGCATCGCCCAGAATGTGGTGACGCCATGGCTGGGTGCCTTTATAAGGACATCAGCTTGCTCATTGTGGAGATATCAGCAACCATACGGCAACCTCATGGTCGGTTCAACTTGGACTTGCCTGACGTCACTCCAACTGAGGTCTTGCACCCGTATAATTACAAATAAAGTAAAGCCTCAATAATATGTAGCAGAATATGGAGACCAATGGCACTACTATTGTGAATTGTGATTTATAACCTTCGGTGGCGAATTCCAACCACTGTCTAATTACCCTTTTATGGCAGCTTAGTAATGAGCCTGGGCGGTAGTCCTGTTAAAAGGAAACTTTCTGCTTTCACTGCTCTGCTATTATGGACCGAAGTGATATAAACATCGAGGTAGCCAATGGGTGATATCTGGTGCGACATGGATGATTTCGTAAAGAGCCACTTCTGAATCGTGAAACCTCCAACCTCATTAAATTTGCTAACATGGCTTGTTCTGGCCAAACTTAGGTAGATGATAGATCTCACGGATGCGCCGGGCCGGCTGATTTAATCGCGTGTTCGTCGTACCTTTATCTAAAATAGGCTAGTTATAATAGCTACCTTATCCTTTGAGCTGGACCAAAGATCCAGAAGCGTGCTGTCGTCACATCTATTAAAAACAAGCTTTCAGATGGACAAAAGTTCTCATTTAGCAACAATTAGCGAATGATTGTTATCAAGTCTTCAAGAGCACTCAGCATGTCTCCAATCAAGACCGTCTTCCAGTTGAACTTCAAGCCCTCCTTCTTTGAGAGCATCACCGTCCGCCCAAGCGGCACTCTCATCGTAACACGCCAAGATGCCAACGAGATATGGGAGATAGACCCTGTCTCCGGGGCCGGCAAGTGTATCGTCACCGTCCCAGATGCCGCCTCAGTGACTGGTATAGCCCAAGTACTGCCAGACGTGTACGCCTTTGGAGCCGGGACCTATTGGAACTACAATACACAGGCTTCAGCTGAGTGAGAAGACTGGCAACCCATGCCGTCTCGTCCAGCTTTATTCTTTGGGCCAGCATTCACAGCTGATATGCTATTTAAACATTAGTAAGATGCGGGGTTGATAAAAATGGGAATAGATCTTACTCACACCCTCCTTCCTGCGACAAGTAAGACAGGCTCTTTAACGGGTCACAGCGGTCAATCGGAATTCCGTTCAATTATCTAACTAATCACGCACGCTTGCATACACCCTGAACGCATGTAAGACGAGTCGGTCATCATCCAATTAGGCATCGTGTTCGACCCTTAGTCCACAGTGGCTTATGCGAATTTGAATGTTTGATGGCTACGCACGAGATAAAATACCATCCCCTTTATCAGATTATTATGATCTTTCCCCAGGTATCGACTGTTATAGCCCGCCAGTAAATTAGCCAAGCATATTATAGATAGCCACGTTTATAGTATAATTCAAGAAATTTGTTTGATATGTTCCCAGCCCTCTTGTCTCAAGCTGACGGTAATATCAAACGTCATCAGGATTCAGAGCCATGCTCGCGCAGTAGGGCGCTTAACCACCATGGTCACTGGCGATGTCAGCTTACGCCTGTAATTTGTGCTTATTTACCCTTACGTCTCACTCTTCATCCCCATTTTATTGACCCTCAAATATTTTTGTAAAAATTCCGAGGATAGGACAGCCCGGGTATCATTTGGCAATCATGGGGGGCATCACTCAACAAGACACCACGTCTCCGCCAGACGTGCATCTTCCCCAGTCCAGCGGCGTTAGCAACGAGAGCAAAAACGAAGCAGCAGAGGGCAACACCCCGAATAGTAATGATGAAGAGGCCGTGGCCGAATTCAAGCCATCCTTTCGCTTCTGGATCATCCTGGCAAACCTATCACTGCTTATCTTCCTCGCTACGCTCGAGAACACCATCATTGGGACCGCGTTGCCGTTTATTGTGGAGGACCTGAAGATCGGAAGCAACTACGTCTGGGTTGCTCACATACAGTTGCTCACCGGGTAGGAGTGCACAAGAACCAAGTTCCGGAATAAACAGGCTGATGGTTATAGAACGTCTGTGTTGCCCCTGACAGCACAACTCGCCAACATCTTCGGCCGCCGCTGGGTGACCATCGTCGTCACTTCGCTTTTCATTGTCGGTTGTGTTATGTGCGGAGCCGCCACGAATGAGGCAATGATGCTGGCTGGTCGAGGTATCCAGGGCGTTGCGAGCCAGAATTGTGTCATGCTTACAGAAATGGTCATCTCGGATCTCGTCCCCTTGAGAGAGCGTTCCAAGTACATTGGCATGACACTCAGTTTAGCGGCGTTTTCTCTCATCTCGGGACCTATTATTAGTGGTGCCCTTGTTAACAACGTATCCTGGCGATGGGTGAGCTGTAACTATACCTTCTTTTGGCGAAGCTTGATATTCTAACGCCGTTATCTTAAGATCTTCTATATCAATGTCCCCATTGCTGGTATTGCACTAATCGGCCTTTACCTCTTTCTTCACGTCAAGTGGAACCGAAATGAGACCATCATGACCAAGCTCCGCCGCATCGACTGGGTTGGCAACATCATTATCACCGGCTCTAGTATCAGTATTCTCGTTGCCTTGACGTGGGCACATGTCGTATATCCTTGGGACTCACCAGAGGTCCTTGCACCGCTCATCATAGGCATTATCGGTGTAGTTGTCTTCTTCGTCTGGGAGGCCAAGTGGGCTACTGAGCCTGTCGTCCCACTTCGCATATTCAAACACTGGAGCTCCATCCTGCTGTACATCGAAACCTTCATGTGCAACTTCTGCCTTTTCTTACCGGCCTACTTCCTACCATTGTTTTTCCAGGGCGTCATGGCCTCGTCTGCAGGCCGAACAGGTGTACAGATGATCCCGCTGACAGCATTCATGATGCCCAGCATGATCTTTACCGCCGTTGCTCTTCCAAAGGTTGCCAAGTACAAGGTTTTCCACGTCGTGGGCTTTACTCTTCTCACGGTAGGACAAGGCATCTTCTCGACGCTCAAGCGAGAAGACTCAAACGCCGAGTGGGTTTTCAAACTCTTTGTTCAGCCCATCGGTACAGGCTTTCTGGCTGGCTCAACACTTCCGGCTATCCAGTCATGGACAGCTGAGGCGGACATGGCAGCGGCAACGGCCGGATTCACCTACATCCGAGGCATGGCCATGATCTTCGGCATTGCTATACCCAGCACAATCTTCAACATCTTCATTTCAAAATACTCGTCCCGCATCGACGACCCCGAAGTCCGCTCTCTTTTGAATGCAGGCGACGCCTTCGCTCTTGGATCCAAGGATTTCGTCATGAGTTTCGATGATCCCGTGCAGAGCCAGATCCGTGAGACGCTCCAGCTAGCGATCCAGAAGGCTTTCCAGGCAACCATCGCGTTCGCAGGCATAGGATTCGTGCTGGCCTGCATCTGCAGGGACAACAGACTAAGATCTGAACTGGAAACTATGTACGGATTAGAGGAGAAGAGGAAGAAGGAGGGGACAGTAGAGGAGGCCACGAACATAACGACGACGGTGGAAAAGGTGGAGGGGGACAAGTAGAACGACGTTTGGAGCAGATATACTCTGGCGCACGTGGCTTTTAGGTTTGCTACTTATGTAATTCTTAGAATTTAGTAAGCTCTCGTGTCATATATGGCCCTAATTTATATAAAATATTAAAAGGTCATGGAATTTCCTTTACAATTTATCTTTATCTGATTTTATACTATAGTAAAGTATAGAATAGTTCCAGCATTTCTCGAAACCCTACTGCCCTTTTAGATTTTAGCATCTGCAAGCCGCTTCAACACATCTACCAAGCACCTACCGTCCCTACTACTACTGTATTAAGGACTGCTTATAATTTAGTAATCCACTTTCGCCAAAAAAGGACAACTAGACTGTGTTGGCCGTTTTTTCTTTCTTTCTTTCTTTCTTTATTTAACGTGTTTGATAAGCGAGTGTCCCAGATAAGCGAGTGTCCCAAAAATCCCTCACCTTATATTATCACTATTTGATCAGATAATTCTCAACCACCCAACATGTCAGAGTCTTTATATGAGGCTAGGATCCTTCTTGCCCTCCAGGCTCTCCAAAATGACCCAAAATTAAGTGGCCGGAAGGCCGCAAGTATATATCAAGTCAATTACCGTACCTTAAATCGCCGCCGGCAGGGAATTCAATCAAAGCATGATATCACCACTAAATCACGGAATCTATCTGATCTTGAGGAGCAGATAATAGTTCAATTCGTCCTTGACCTAGATTCGCGAGGATTTCCCCCGCGCCGCGATTTTGTGGAAAAAATGGCTAATTCTCTACTTGCCGACCGCGATGTATCACCCGTTGGCATACGCTGGGTTCATAACTTTATCCAACGGCAACCAGAGCTCAAGACACGTCGATTTCGGAGATATAACTATCAGAGAGCTAAATGCGAAGATCCTACTATTATTCGTGACTGGTTTCGCCTCGTAGAGAATACAGTCGCGAAATACGGTATCCAATTAGATGATATGTGGAATTTTGATGAGACCGGCTTTATGATGGGTATGATTGAGCCCGGAATGGTCGTTACAAGCTCAGAAAGGCAAGGGATGCCAAAGAAAGTCCAGCCTGGAAATCGTGAATGGATTACTGCGATCGAGGCGATTAATGCAGAAGGTCAATCGATCCCGCCGTTTATTATTGGTTCAGGCCAATATCACCTTGCCAATTGGTATCGAGAATGCGACCTGCCCGGCGATTGGGTTATTGCATTGAGCGAAAATGGATGGACTAATAACCAGCTAGGTCTTGACTGGCTTAAGCACTTTGATCGGTCAACAAAGGACCGATCAGTTGGTTCCTATCGTCTCTTGATCCTTGATGGTCATGAAAGCCACCACTCGGCCGAATTTATGAGATATTGTGAGGAGAAGAAGATTATTACACTCTGTATGCCTGCTCATGCCTCTCATCTACTCCAGCCTCTTGATGTCGGCTGCTTTGGACCGCTAAAAAAGGCCTATGGGCGAGCAATAGAGCGTCTGATCGGATGCTCTATAAACCATATTTCCAAGACCGAGTTCTTTCCCGCCTTCCACGCCGCCCACCGAGCTACTATTACCGAAAACAATATCCGGGGAGGTTTTAGAGGAGCCGGGCTTGCTCCCCTTAACCCAGAAAATATCATCTCAAAGCTTGATGTGCAATTACGG